TTATTCTATGCCATTGTCCAAAAAATTACTCTAATTGTCGAAATATTCTAGACTTGTGGACTTGGAGGTTAGTCACGAGGTCCAAACTCTTATATGAAGAATAAGCGATAAGAATATTTCATACATCGTGCTTGAGCAAGTCATTTTAAAATGAAGGTAGTCACATGGCTACTACATTGGGTACAGTGTGACATTTGAGCTGCATGACACTCTTCAAAAATATGTAGGATGAACTCTCTAGTTAAACTAGATTCAAGCCCATAGAATGCACTTATCAGTCAGTACACAAAAAAAAACTACAATGAACACGAGACTAAGGTCGAGACTTTTATCCCTTCAAATGAACCTGTAAATTACAACATTTATCCGTAGAACTTTATAACATAATCACGTGCAGAGTTTGACTTTTCAAAGCATTTCCCATAATTATTGTTTTCATTGCACGATTTTTTTTTCTTTAAAACTCAAATGTAGTGTAAATTATATGATTCATGTTTTCTTAATTTTTTTCGGTTGAAGCTATGCATGATATATTTACTACATGTATACAAATCATACATATATACACACACCTCCTTCCGGAAAAAATCAATTTATTTTATATACAATACTTTTTGAAATCTGAGTATATGAAGTCTCTCTAAAGATTTTTTGTCAGTTTCTGTTTTCCACTTTTTTCATGCTTTCGTTCGAATGTCAGTTTTCATTTTTTAGAGGACTTTTACTCACGCTCAAATTCCTTCCAATCATTAAATACATAATCTCTTTTTTCAAGCTTTGCAAAAAAAAGTCTGTAAAAAAATGGTATGAATGTTGTTATTAGTCCTTACTGTTACCATAGAAATCATTGTTTTTGATTTTGCTTACTCGAATGACGTTGTCAATGACGACAAATTTCAATAATAACTGTTAATAAGGGTTCTATGGTTTTTGTGGACATGTTCATGCTCTATGCAACAAAATTTGAATTGGGGTAAAGTTTTGTGGGAAAATGTGATGGAATTTTCTATTACAATAGTAAGCATTATCGAAGCCCTTCAAATTATAAAAATTAAAAAACACGACTTACGTAGAAAGCAAAGAACTTCCATGATTGACTTACGTTAGATAACATAAAAGTTGCCAAATAAGAATACTACCTTATAGAGCTATGTGTTTCGTCAAAAAAATTTAACGTGAAAGATCTAAGGGGTCGTTCACTTATGACGTCCAACATTTAGGGGGGAGGGGAGTCTGAAACTGTGTGACACCTCAATACAAAAGATTTTTTTTGTATGAAAATTTTGTGACAGAGGGGGGGGGGGGGGGGGGTCTAAAAATCTCATTTTTTGATGGACGTCATAAGTGAACGGCCCGGACCCTAATAAAATATCACATCTATAACATGTTGACAGATGCTTTCAATGTCTGTGAAAGGATCCTTTTGATAGGAGTCTTTGATATAGAAAGGATCAAAAGTATCCTTTCACAGACATTGAAAATTTACAAACATCTCAAACTGAATTTTAAGTAAAGGAGTCAGAAAAAATATAATTAATTATTAAAACTCTAATATCTTTTCATTTGCAAAAGCTATATTATTTTCTCAAGAACTTCAAAAAAATTAAACATTCAAAGATTTTAAGTTTGTTTTGAAAATTGTTCGCTCGAACGCGAAAATTTTTTCAAAACCTATTACCTATTACACACATTTGGGTACCCTTTGAGATTTTTGAAAATGAGTCCTTCAGGCTGTATTAAAAAAAGTGTGTTTGTCGTGAAACTAATAACTTACACGCTTTTTGCGTGGAAGTTAATAATTATCAGCATTTCGAATCAATTAATTGCACAGTTGGCAATTGATGATGTGAACAATAATAGAATTTCGAATAACTTGAGTCCCAAATCGAGAAAATTTAAATCACAACCTTTTCCTATTCTTAACAATTGTTCGAAAGCCATTGTCTGAGGAATGCAAAAAATCAAGTAGCACTTCCACATTTCAAGTTGCGACAAAATTATAAATTTTTTAATAATTAGCAATGTATGCGTATGTATCTAACCAGATCAGATTTTCGTAGGGGGGGCCCGGGCCCCCTATGCCCCCCCCCCTGGCTACGCCCCTGTATCTAACAGCTTATGTACCGATTTATGAGAATAAATCAAATGAATTTTTTCGCTTCACCACTAATTTTTTTGTCACTGAGTCCCACAAATATTTTTCTCAAACGTAATAATTATTTAAACCAAAGACACCGAAAACATTAATGTTAAATAATTCATTTTCACATCGAGGTCTTAGAAAAATATGAGCAGCAGCAGTAGGTGTATGCACCTAGTAAATATATTTTTCTATCAGCTCCAATGAGCCGGTTTTTTTGTTGCTTACACAACTAAAATTAAGCTTCTCTCCGACGACTCTCAATAAAAAAATTAATCAAAAAAATTCACTGAGAGTAAATGCCGCTATTATTCAAACATTTACATGGTGTTGTTGCAAAAAGTATTACTAAATATATACATTTTTATGTTTGAGAGCCTCTCAGCTTATTCTCTTCGTCTCTCACAATTCCTTTAAATTTTCTCTCACGTCTGTCTATAGACTTTTAATATTAATGTTATGAACGTCTAAGTCTCTTTTTACGCCATCCAACTTTGCAATTCCATTTAAGTAAGTGTGCTAGACACATCAACAAGCAATTTTCATCATATTCAGATACTTAAAAAGTGTTTAAAAAAATTATTTCTATCTGACTTTTTACAGTAATTCTTGTAAGTTAACAAACATACATTTGTGCTGCACATATTGGAAGTGAAGAATTTATTTTTTTTAAAATTAATATTTCATTAATAACATAATAAAAGAAGATGAGAGAGAAAGAAACTTGCTCTATTGCAATTTACTGTAAACTTTATATACCGCTTCTTCGAAATAGATGATTTTTTTTTTGCTTTCATTCATTAACGGAATACTGCATACATTGCGGTAAATGTGGATACAACATCTTCGTGAGATTTTTTTATCATCGCAAAAAAAAGATATAATTTATATTATGTGTAATAATGTGTGGTGAATTAATAGCAGATTCATTCATATGTATATTGATTGATGTACAAAAGCTGCCTGAAGTCTAATTTCAATTTGTGCAAGTATATATAATAGACGGTGGTGTTATAAAAAGAGAGATAAATAGCACAACAATAATGCGATTGTGAGTTAAAATAAAAAGTGAAATTAAACGAGCCCACAAAATGAGGAAATCATTATGGGGAGAAGCAGAAAAAATTCTCACATTAAAAATCAATGTCGACTGCTCTCAATTTAGCTATTTTCTCCTTCATGCTTACAAGTTTATGATTTTTTTTTAAATATTCTTTTCTATTGATGTCATATACTTAGTACATAGTGTACATATCATTCAAAATATTGTTTTTTGCCTTTCTTCTTCTATTCTATTTCCATTCGCTTGAAAAAAAAAATGAAAAAATTACGAATATATGCATATGCTTTCCTTGAGCCTATTTACAACTTCTAGCCTCATTGACCCAGTTTCATCTCTCACACTCTACCGATAATAATGCTTAATATACATAACAAGAAATAAAAGTGATTCCTAACAGAAACGAAAGATAAAATAGATTGTTGTTTAGTGTCATGTGTGTGATGGCTTAAATATCTTGATAGATTCTGTTTCACATCTTTTATATTGTGTAGCAGTGGCAGAAGTAATAAAAGTAAAGTTTTGTTTATTTTAAAAAAAACTTTGAAAATGTGCATAGAAAAATAAACATCTACGTGTACTCTTTTAATGACCACAAATCGGAGCTACCAAAAATGGGGAGTATTTTTATTAAAATATTTAAAAAGCATGAGTTGATGCTGGTAGTTTTTGTGTGATGATTACTTGAGTGATAAATTTTTATTTGGTGTTAAATGCAATTGTTGATGCTGATATAAAATTTTGAACCTTTTTTTCGCAAATATTCAATTTAGTAATGTTTAAAATTTCAAAATATCTTAAAACTTCAAAAATTTCTAATCCACCATCACCATCACAATGCGTTATAGCTTCCACATCACCCAAATATTTCTCTTACATTGAAAACATAAAAAATAAAAAATTATCTCGATATTTCGAAATAGCAAAAAATAACACAAAATCAGAACACAACAGAAGAGAGAAATATTGAGTTAGTCTTATAAGACAATGATTTGTTAATTTGCATGATGACTGATGTCGCGTCAACTAATTACATCAGTAACTTTGTGAGTTTTAAAAACAAAAACAAGCGTATAAAGTTTGTTTTTTGTTAGAATCAATTAAGGAGGTCGATAACTAGTGTTTAACTCATTATTTTTTTCTTTTCGTAACAAGAGGTGTGTTCACGTGTACCTCTTAAGCCTACATTTCGATAGTACTTTTTCCTTGAAGATAATAGAAAAACTTCCGTGTTTGCGCTAAAGTCCTCAATTTTTTTTTTTAAAAAAGTCTAATGACACAGTAACGAAAAATAATTTTATTTCCTTTTTTGGGAGTATCCAATGGCTTGGGATCATTTCTTTGAAGGAAAGAAAAAAAAAGTCCATTGTGCAATGCAAACACATGTTTAAGTTTTTCTGTTGGGGTGGCAATATGGAGTAGATGTTTCGTCCTCCACACAAATGGGGAATCAAAAGGGCAAGAAGGAAAAAAATTTGTTTTCTAGATTTTCGTAGTCAAGGGAAACGTTTTTTATCGTTTTGCGATGAGACACACATTCAAGCATACTTAATTTGTATTTTATTTTTTGTTTGTGCCTTTTGAGTATACAAAAAAAAATTTTTATTTTATTGAAATCGATACAATTCAAATATAAAAAATTTGGGGTAGCTCTAAAATAAAAAGTGAGTGAGGAAATTGGGAAAGTTTCGTTTTTATGCCATAGACACAATAAAAATTGATTTATTTTGAAAATAATTTCAAGGTCATAAATTGAAACTAGTTTTTTTAATCCATTTTTATTCTTTGGTTTATTTTCAGAATGTCACAAGATCGTCCATCATCACGCGATGGATCAACAAAAATAATTAATATGAATCACGTGCTGACACATCCAACATCACAATTACAGTACAATAACAATAATAATAATTTAATCATCAATAAGAATCATTTTTTAGCTATTGAGACAGCAAATAATGCAAATTCACATTTACTTGTACATAAGAATATGAATACTATGCCTTCTATTTCATCAACAACATCGTCAATTGCAAGTCCCATGAGTTACATAAGTAATAACAAAAAAAATCCTTAAAACAGCATTTCGTCATATAAATTGATTTTTCTCTTTCTAGCAACAATAAACGATCAAAATGTAATAAACGGAAGTCATCATCAAATTGTATTGTTGACAAATGAAAAAGTAGAATCATCTGATAATGAGCAAATTCGTGATGAAGATGAACGTAAAGTATCTAATGGTGCTACAGATGAAGAACTCACACCTCTCACATGGTTACATGATAAAAATTTACTTAAAGGTGAGAATACATTCTTTCATTTTTTATGCTTCATGTCTCATTTGTGAATGAAGTACGATTCTATTTGACACCACGTGACTTGAGAGTATTGGCTCAAATATGATAGTATCTCACATTGTCTAAGTGGGCTCAGTTCACTAAGATTATCACTTTAGTGTTTCCTTACTTAGTCTCAAACCTATAAGTTGTCATAGGTCACGTGAAATTCCTAATATGAATTGTGAAAGGAGACAAACAAAAAATTTAATTGAATTGAGACGGCAGCTTCAAAATATATATTCTATTCAAATAATTTTCATAATTTTAAATTATAAATCATTTTTAGGAATAAATTTATCATGTCCAAAAGTGCAATCTCCTTCAAACAACCATGATCAAGTACCTAACAATATTAATGGTCACATAAATGTCATATCAAAATCACCTCAACATGATAAGGATGATTCGGGGATGTTGGATACTGGATTTAATTCTTCATCAGAACAGGTGAAAAAAAACAAACATGCAACTTTTTATTAAGCAATTTAATGGAAAATTTATTTATTAATAGAATGATCACTATTCAACACCTCCATCACCGAAGCCTATCAATTACACAAAAACTGATAGCAAATCACAAACTGATAACTTTATTAAAAATTTGGATAAAAATAGTCATAATAATTTAAGTAATTCACCACAAATTGACATAATCAAGTTGGTCGCAGGTCATCCTAGTACAGTAATAAGGGAACATAATCAAAGTTATAATTTAAATTCCGAAGAATCTATAAATCAAATTATCAAGTCACCACCAAACACACCGCATCAACATTTTCATAAAAGATATTTAAGGGAAACGCTCAAGCAACAAGACGAGGAGAAGAGACAACAAGAACAGTTATATACACATAATTCGCAATTGAGCTCATACATTATTGCGAAGCCTCAATCTGAGCATCGCTATATTTTTAATAATGACGAACATGCCATAGCTAATTATAACAATAACAATAATAACACCATTCAAAATAATTATGAGAATAATTGCGAATACGATCTATCGCAAAAGGCTATCGATTATGCAATGCCAAAGCTTAATTCCACCACGTCATCCGTTGCAAGTTCATTATCATCATCTCCATCACCAAAACAACAGAAACAGCATCCAAACAATATTCCATATGACCCACTCGTTCACATTAATAGTAAGCCTCCTTATAGCTTTAGGTATGCATATACATTACATGCTCACTATTATGTGTACAATGTTAATCTTCTTTTGATCCATTTTAGTTCTCTAATATTTATGGCTATCGAAGATTCTGCCCAGAAAGCATTACCAGTAAAAGAAATTTATGCTTGGATAATTCAGCACTTTCCTTACTTTAAGACGGCGCCAACAGGTTGGAAGAACAGCGTAAGGCATAATCTGTCGCTCAATAAATGCTTTCAGAAGGTTGAAAAGGCTGCTGTAAGTTAAATTAACTGATCTCATAGTCTTTATATTGATGAATATTTTTTGGCCGACTTAGAATCTTGGAAAGGGATCTTTATGGATGGTGGAGCCTCAATATCGTCCAAATTTAATTCAAGCACTGACCCGATCTCCTTTTCATCCATGCTCAACATGGGAGAAACACGCAAAAAACCTCATCAAGTCACCGAACGAAAGTCCAGGATCAAAGGTATGTAAAATAACACAAATAAACAGCTCTAAAGTGTCAAGAAAGTCATGCTAATTTGATTAAATAATTTGTTACTAGGTTAACGGAAGCACCCGTTTACCTAATCCCGAACATTTTCCATTTCTCTCGCGGAGATTAGCTGCCGCAATGGAAAACTTCGATGAAGAAATCCACGAGCAAAGCAGATCAAATACCCCTGTAAATACCAGTTACGATATGCCACAAAATTTAACAAGTGCAATGCCAATTTATCAAAATAACAACTCTATAATTATTAATGGAAATTTACCGAACTCAGAAATTTTTACACGAGAACTGAATGCTGAGACCATCGATGATGTCAATGCTGCAACTGCGATGCTTGCGTTAAAACATGGACCAAAAATATTCAGTGAAGGCATCCCATTTGTTCAATCAAATCCTCCTATTTTAACAACGACAACATCACCTAGTGAAGATCATACGTATTCTGCTTATGTGAAAAATGGAACTGATAATAATAGCAATGGAACTTCTTCTGATGCTGCCTACGAAAGCAGCGAGGAAAAGTAAATAAATTTTGTTTTTAAATTTAAAATATCATTAAACTTTATATCAAATTGCCTTTTCTTATTTATCAAATAGTAACGTCGTTTATCATTTTACCCAGCCATTGAACGAAGAGGAATTGGAAGAACAGCGGAAACAAGCCGAGGGCGTTGACGCTCTCCTAAATTTAGCCGGCTATAATACAAACACAACACTTTTATTAAAACGTCCCGTCACAGATGATCAACATACAAAGCAATACTTCTATACAACTGAAATCACACCGTCTTCGAATAAAAATTTCATTGCTGACGATGAACCTCCAATGAAGAAATCAAAATCCCGAATATTGCGAAATAAATTAAAAAAGAAATCGTCATGGAATCGATAATCGGTAGTCGGAAGCATCGAAAGATGTAGACAGATCAGATGAGAAAATGAACGGAAATTTAACCAAAATTTATGCTTAAGTGGAAAAAAATGCTTAATTTTATCACACAAAAAAGATTATTAGTCAGGAGCATGAGAGAATTGTTCAGCAATAATTGGGGTCGATCAAAAATTAAAATTTTTAACCCTCTTCCCCTTTGGGTATTGTAAAACACCCGTACCTCTCAACGATTTAGATCATAAAAAATGACCCCTTAAAATATCGGTTTTTACATTTCAATGCATTTTGTCATACATAGAAAATTAAAATTAATTAAACGAAACAAACCAACAAAAAAGGAAAAAATTATTTTAAGCAAAAAATGCTCAAGTCTGTTAATTATGTTAAGTCAATCCTTAGTGAAAGATTTTTTTTTTGTTCTTTAAAGTCGTTTTTTTTTTCAAGAAGGAGAAAAAAAACAAGAAAACTAAATTAAAAAATTAAATAAATTATTGTCTATCTTCCTTTTATCAAGGTATAAAATACTGACAGCTGCTATAATAATATTAATTAAATTAAAAATGAAAAATAGAAATAATAATACTGTTATTGTTTTCATGCAAATCAATTTTTTTCTAGTTCATCGTTTGTTCGTTATGTTTTTTAAAATCTATTTATTAAATCATAAAAAAATGATGAAGAAAAAATAGTGAAGTCTTATAGATACTAATTTAGTGCCAATTATGTTGTTTAATTGACAAAAAAAGAGAGAAGCTTCTCATTTTCATTACTTGATGCACTAAATGAGAAGAAAAAAATAAATAAAGAATAAAATTTGGAGTACAAAATTTTTAAATTTAACTGGCATGTGGCATTTTTTCTGATCGACCACGATTAACTATTAAATTAAAATAAATCATTAAAATGACTCTTTTTCAAAATTTTAAAAACAAACACGATTAATGAGGAAAACATAACTACAGATTTTTATTGTCTTTATGCAATCATATTTTAAGCATGATAATTAAATAATTGAAAATGAATAACATGATAGTGCCTGTTAATTACTAATTACATAAAAAAAGCTATGATAATGCATTTTTGTTTTATTTCTTCGATGAAGAATAAATTACATAAAAAAAAAGCTATGATAATGCATTTTTGTTTTACTTCTTTGATAATCGTTTGGGGCTGTGTTGAATTTTATGCTTTGAAGAAAAAATAAATACTTTTAAAAAAACCATGTTTTTGCCGTGGACTAAAAAGTAGATAAAAAATAGCTTTATTCTTTGGTTCAAAGCAAATTGGTTGAAAATTTTCAGATTAATTTAAAAGTTTTATACTAGTGGTTGAACATGAGTTGCATCAGTGTTTACAGACATACAATTATTATCCACCAAATCCCAAGATTCAGCAGCATTATGTTCTGATACAACTACCTTAAAAGGTTTGTCAAAAACGTATTTTGACACTATATGATCCAATTCTAAGGTAAATTAACTTACACTCCTTAGAAATCGATTTAATTCCATATGACCTGTAGAAATCCAGTCAATTTGGATGCACTTGCAAAAACTTGTTTCATTTTATACCACCAAACAACACATCCATACATAATTCGTGGTAGAATAACTTGCTCATACAGCCAATACATCATATTGGGTTTTAATCCCCAGTTTTTACCAACAATTGATCTACAAGCCCAAAAGGACTTAATAATTTTACTTACAACGAAATCTACATGCAAATTCCAGTTTTATTTGCTGTCTAAGGAGACACCAAGATACTTTGCTTCATAACTGAATTCTTTCCTTTGACCATACATAAGTGGAGGACGTCGCTCACCTAATTTATACTTCGTAGTGAAAGGAATTACAATTGTTTTGGCTAGATTTACTGATAAACCAACTTTATCACAAAAACCTTCCACAATGTTTGAAGACCTTTGAAAAACATCTAACACTGTGTTTAATTGGCTGCTGGACACACAACTGCTCAATGAAGACTATGCACTAAACACTGAGCTAGCGTACATAATTTAAATCTAAGAATTGTTAATGTTAAGAATAAGAAAAATGTTAAAAAAACTTTTTTAAAAACACGCTTTCATCAAAAAGACTAAAAACCAAAAAGTTCAAAATAAAATAAGATCACACTTATAGCGAATCAGGATTTTAAAAATGTAACATGAAATTTTTTCAAAATATTGTGATTAAGTCCAAGAACAAAATGACTGTAAAAGCGTGGGGAGGAATTTAAGGATAATTTCTTAGTTCAGCTATGTTCTTAAGTAAGAGAACGTCAAATCCCAAAGACCTATTTTCAAAAAAATATCGATTTTATATCTATATTAGCATTCTTTATCATTTATAATACCTAGATATGTTTTAAAATGCAATTTATAGCATTTTTGGTTTAGATCATAGTAGGCTATTTTCAAAAAAATATCGATTTTATATCTATATTAGCATTCTTTATCATTTATAATACCTAGATATGTTTTAAAATGCAATTTATAGCATTTTTGGTTTTGATCATAGTAGGCTATTTTCAAAAAAATATCGATTTTATATCTATATTAGCATTCTTTATCATTTATAATACCTAGATATGTTTTAAAATGCAATTTAAAGCATTTTTGTTTTTTGATCATAGTAGGCTATTTTCAAAAAAATATCGATTTTATATCTATATTAGCATTCTTTATCATTTATAATACCTGGATATGTTTTAAAATGCAATTTATAGCATTTTTGGTTTTGATCATAGTAGGCTATTTTCAAAAAAATATCGATTTTATATCTATATTAGCATTCTTTATCATTTATAATACCTAGATATGTTTTAAAATGCAATTTAAAGCATTTTTGGTTTTGATCATAGTAGGCTATTTTCAAAAAAATATCGATTTTTTATCTATATTAGCATTCTTTATCATTTATAATACCTATAAATGTTTTAAAATACAATTTAAAGCATTTTTGGTTTTGATCAAAGTAGGCTATTTTAAAAAAAATATCGAATTTACATCTATATTAGGATTTGTTTTCATTTATAATACCCAGATATGTTTTAAAATGCAATTTAAAGCATTTTTGTTTTTTGATCATAGTAGGCTATTTTCAAAAAAATATCGATTTTATATCTATATTAGCATTCTTTATCATTTATAATACCTAGATATGTTTTGAAATTCAATTTATAGCATTTTTGGTTTTGATCATAGTAGGCTTTTTTCAAAAAAATATCGATTTTATATCTTTATTAGCATTCTTTATCATTTATAATACCTAGATATGTTTTAAAATGCAATTTAAAGCATTTTTGTTTTTTGATCATAGTAGGCTATTTTCAAAAAAATATCGATTTTATATCTTTATTAGCATTCTTTATCATTTATAATACCTAGATATGTTTTAAAATGCAATTTAAAGCATTTTTGTTTTTTGATCATAGTAGGCTATTTTCAAAAAAATATCGATTTTATATCTATATTAGCATTTGTTTTCATTAATAATTCCTAGATATGTTTTAAAATGCAATTTAAAGCATTTTTGATTTTTGATCAAAGTAGGCTATTTTCAAAAAAATATCGATTTTGTATCTATATTAGCATTCTTTATCATTTATAATACCTAGATATGTTTTAAAATACAATTTAAAGCATTTTTGGTTTTTGATCATAGTAGGCTATTTTCAAAAAAACATCGATTTTATATCTATATTAGCATTCTTGATCATTTATAATACCTAGATATGTTTTAAAATGCAATTTATAGCATTTTTGGTTTTGATCATAGTAGGCTTTTTTCAAAAAAATATCGATTTTATATCTTTATTAGCATTCTTTATCATTTATAATACCTAGATATGTTTTAAAATGCAATTTAAAGCATTTTTGTTTTTTGATCATAGTAGGCTATTTTCAAAAAAATATCGATTTTATATCTTTATTAGCATTCTTTATCATTTATAATACCTAGATATGTTTTAAAATGCAATTTAAAGCATTTTTGTTTTTTGATCATAGTAGGCTATTTTCAAAAAAATATCGATTTTATATCTATATTAGCATTTGTTTTCATTAATAATTCCTAGATATGTTTTAAAATGCAATTTAAAGCATTTTTGATTTTTGATCAAAGTAGGCTATTTTCAAAAAAATATCGATTTTGTATCTATATTAGCATTCTTTATCATTTATAATACCTAGATATGTTTTAAAATACAATTTAAAGCATTTTTGGTTTTTGATCATAGTAGGCTATTTTCAAAAAAATATCGATTTTATATCTATATTAGCATTCTTTATAATTTATAATACCTAGATATGTTTTAAAATGCAATTTAAAGTATTTTTGGTTTTTGATCATAGTAGGCTATTTTCAAAAAAATATCGATTTTTTATCTATATTAGCATTCTTTATCATTTATAATACCTATAAATGTTTTAAAATACAATTTAAAGCATTTTTGGTTTTGATCAAAGTAGGCTATTTTAAAAAAAATATCGAATTTACATCTATATTAGGATTTGTTTTCATTTATAATACCCAGATATGTTTTAAAATGCAATTTAAAGCATTTTTGTTTTTTGATCATAGTAGGCTATTTTCAAAAAAATATCGATTTTATATCTATATTAGCATTCTTTATCATTTATAATACCTAGATATGTTTTGAAATTCAATTTATAGCATTTTTGGTTTTGATCATAGTAGGCTTTTTTCAAAAAAATATCGATTTTATATCTTTATTAGCATTCTTTATCATTTATAATACCTAGATATGTTTTAAAATGCAATTTAAAGCATTTTTGTTTTTTGATCATAGTAGGCTATTTTCAAAAAAATATCGATTTTATATCTTTATTAGCATTCTTTATCATTTATAATACCTAGATATGTTTTAAAATGCAATTTAAAGCATTTTTGTTTTTTGATCATAGTAGGCTATTTTCAAAAAAATATCGATTTTATATCTATATTAGCATTTGTTTTCATTAATAATTCCTAGATATGTTTTAAAATGCAATTTAAAGCATTTTTGATTTTTGATCAAAGTAGGCTATTTTCAAAAAAATATCGATTTTGTATCTATATTAGCATTCTTTATCATTTATAATACCTAGATATGTTTTAAAATACAATTTAAAGCATTTTTGGTTTTTGATCATAGTAGGCTATTTTCAAAAAAATATCGATTTTATATCTATATTAGCATTCTTTATCATTAATAATTCCTAGATATGTTTTAAAATGCAATTTAAAGCATTTTTGATTTTTGATCAAAGTAGGCTATTTTCAAAAAAATATCGATTTTGTATCTATATTAGCATTCTTTATCATTTATAATACCTAGATATGTTTTAAAATACAATTTAAAGCATTTTTGGTTTTTGATCATAGTAGGCTATTTTCAAAAAAATATCGATTTTATATCTATATTAGCATTCTTTATAATTTATAATACCTAGATATGTTTTAAAATGCAATTTAAAGTATTTTTGGTTTTTGATCATAGTAGGCTATTTTCAAAAAAAGCATTCTTTATTATTTATAATACCTAGACATGTTTTAAAATGCAATTTAAAGCATTTTTGGTTTTTGATCATAGTAGGCTATTTTCAAAAAAATATCGATTTTGTATCTATATCAGCATTCTTTATCATTTATAATATCTAGATATGTTTTAAAATGCAATTTAAAGTATTTTTGGTTTTTGATCATAGTAGGCTATTTTCAAAAAAAGCATTCTTTATTATTTATAATACCTAGACATGTTTTAAAATGCAATTTCAAGCATTTTTGATTTTTGATCAAAGTAGGCTATTTTCAAAAAAATATCGATTTTGTATCTATATTAGCATTCTTTATCATTTATAATATCTAGATATGTTTTAAAATGCAATTTATAGCATTTTTGGTTTTGATCATAGTAGGCTATTTTCAAAAAAATATCGATTTTATATCTATATTAGCATTCTTTATCATTTATAATATCTAGATATGTTTTAAAATACAATTTAAAGCATTTTTGGTTTTTGATCATAGTAGGCTATTTTCAAAAAAATATCGATTTTATATCTATATTAGCATT